TTTTTTTTTTGAAAGTCTGAGGGTTTTTTGAAAGTCATTGGGGTTCAATGTTATTAATGCCCAATGCCAAACACAAAAGACCGATTTAATAGATAAAAGAAACTCATATATGTTTGGAACAACTTAAGGATGGGTAAATGATGACAGATTTTTCATTTTTTGGTGATCTATCCCTTTAAGGACCTTGTATACTTGGTTGAAAACACCAACATCATTTCAAACAGTGTTTTGGAAAGATAAAAGCTACAAATAAACCTGAACAAACAGCCGCCAGGACAATCACTAGCCGTTCTTGGCTTCCCATTCAATTCATATCTAAATAAAACCGACTTGTGTGACTATGCAGATTACTGCAATTAAGAGGTAGATTGATATGCAGGTGCCAATCTATAATACACATTCCACTTTCACTATTGTGCATGAGTCATGTGGAAATGATTATATTAATATGACTCATTGCCAAAAAAAAAATTTGCTTTTTAAAAAAAATTTTATTATAATAATTACTTATAGTATTTATATATTTACAGGCATCTACAGAATTTGAGGAGCTTATAGCCAATCTGAAGATCTCAAAGGATCCTGTGCCTGCCCAGAATCAACCACCTACAGAGCCCAAGGACCAATCAGGAGAGCCTCTTTCCCCACAGTCCTTTGCCATGGTGTGTAATCCATGGTTCTCATATCTGCAGCACAACAGAGTGAAAAAGTATGGTTATTTAAATGTCTTTGAATGTTTCAAGTCATTTTTATTTTTTATTTTTTTGTTCGAGCAGAAGGGCACTCTGGTATTGAAAGAAATGTTGAAGATTGACAGCTCTGGACCAAGTTCCTCTGCCCCTGATTTCACTGGTGGCCATGATTCAGCAAACCCCAATGCCCAACAGCAGAGCAGGAGACGCTCCAGCAAAAAACTAGGTACTGCATTGTGTCCAATCAGATCCAGAATCAGGCTTGTAAGATTTCAGGCTGTAGAACTTTACTTTGTTAGATAGATGATTAATTCTCAAACCTGAGATATATGCGCAGTGAATAATAATAAGTGAATGTTCTCTGTCTCTCAGCTGCTCGGATAAATACTCCTCAGACTGATGCGCCAGCAGCGGCTCCTCCTCCTCCTCCTCCTCTGGCTGGCCAGCCACCCCTCCTCCCCAGCATGGCCACTGAACTCGGGCGGGTATGCATGGGGCTTGGGATGGGACCTCCAGAGTTCGCCTTCCTCCGCAACAGACAGGTTGGTCCATCTCTCAAACTCCACCTATATCGGTGTAGCCTGAGAAAGAAAAGAACCGTATCCATATGTCCATATAAATATAGATATGCAAAAAAGCCAATCATAATTTGGTTAGGGCTGGCCAGCCACCCCTCCTCCCCAGCATGGCCACTGAACTCGGGCGGGTATGCATGGGGCTTGGGATGGGACCTCCAGAGTTCGCCTTCCTCCGCAACAGACAGGTTGGTCCATCTCTCAAACTCCACCTATATCTGTGTAGCCTGAGAAAGAAAAGAACCGTATCCATATGGCCATATAAATATAGATATGCAAAAAAGCCAATCATAATTTGGTTAGATCTTTACAAGAGCTCTAAGCAGAAAGTTGGAGGAAGAACTTAATACCCAAAACGCTCAATACCCAAGCCATCATGATGAATGAATATTGAAAGTTCATATACAGATTTCAAGCTCACATTGGTATGTAGTTCAGTGAATAAGACCTAATGTTTTCCGCCGCCTCTTTCCATCTCATTTGCTCTTTTTCTTGTTCTGTAGAGTCTCGCAGTGTGTCAGGTGAAGTTGTCTAATGGCCTGCTGATTCACGGTCCTCAGTGTCAATCTGAAACTGAAGCTAAAGAGAAAGCTGCTCTCTTTGCCCTTCAACGATTGGTAACTCTCAGTGCAGAAATGGATCAATTTGTTTCAACTAAAAAAAAATTCAGTTTGATGAATTCAGTATATGGTAGTACATGACTTTTCTTGTGATATAATGAATTATGTGTCTTAATGGAATATAGTACACTCTACAATAATTCTTAGTAAGTCCTTGTTGACTGCCGAATGAAATCATGTTGTCTTCTGCAGAACTCGTTGGGTTCTTTCCCACTGCCTCCTCCCATATTCCCTGGAGTCCAGCAGATGAGGCCACTTGCGCCTCATCCCTCCATGTTTGGTCAGCCAGCAGGTCTGAGTCATATTGTCTATTTTCTGTTAAATCCTGTTGTTCTAATGCAGATGTTCTTTACTTTTACACTTGATCTGATGTTTTGTTTACACAGGTGGTCTTCTGATGCCGCCACATGGCTACAGACCTCTTCACTGGGGGATGCGGTTTCCACACCAGGGCCAGCCGTTCTATGGAGGAACTTTCCCTGGAGCACGGGCCCCTGTGCCATCAGCGGCCAGCGGATCCCACAACCAGTTTGTTCCCCTACAGGTGAGAACTTCTTGATGATATATACATATAAATCCTGAACATTTGAAACCGTTTCAGTACTCATTTCCCATAGTATTGATACAATGGTACTAACTGCACATTTCCGATATCAAGTTGATACACACAGTAGTGTGTATTTTTATTAATTATGAATATAGTCCATTGCGCTGCGTGTTTTAGAACGAAGCGTGGCACTGTGGTCATTTACACGTGCAGCTCATGATCCAGTGTTTTCAGCATCTCAAAGCGGGTTAGATAAATAGATTTTGAGCCACAAATAAATATAAAAAGATGTTTTAAAATATTGAACAAATTTGCAAAATCATGTGGTGCAAACGACATGCAAAGAAAAAACATGAATATCAGGTAATTATATGGCCCTCATGAATGGTCATCAAGGTCAAAATGTATTTTTAAAATGTTAGGTAGTTTGATCGGTTTATGACCAGTCAAGGTTAGTTCAGGTTGTAAAAATTAATGTGGTGGAACTCCCCAGAAACATGTATGATATTTATAAATGCATTATATTTATAAAAAGTTCCATTTTGCCTTAAACTATACTTTAAAACTTTTTAGAAAATAATGAATATGTACACACATGTATTCAAGTTGTTATTAAAGAATGTTGTATTTTTTTGTATTTAGTTTGTTTACACTACAATATTTCACTGTAGCTATAACATGCCTTTGTGTCTTTAGGTGACCAAGAAGCGAGTTTCAGGCAGAACCAAGAACCAAGAGGCAAAGCAAATGTCAGGAAGCTCTGCCTATGCTGGTCAGACCTCAGGCGGTGGACCGGCTGCTGCTTCTGCCCCAGTCCCCGCATCAGCCCCCAAGACCCCCCCACCCATTAGCACCCATGAGCCTGCAGATAAGCCCACCACACCCAAGACGCCCAGGCAGAACACCAATCCTCATACGCCCGGCTCAGCCTCCAAGAGGAAACACCGGAAACTGGCGGTCAACTTCGAGGCTGCTAAAGTGACAGACTGAAATCATTTTCTCACACTATTCATCTCTCTCGAAGGAGAACACCGGCATTTCATAGTAAGAAACAAGATGCAGTTGTCCGTCTTCATGATTCGATCATTTGGTGAGACAATGTATTTGTCACTGGCATCGAATTAGTTTTGTATTCGTTTTAGTTGCCATGTTTTGAGTGAAGGTAGTGCTGGAAAACATTTTTATTGATAACTGCACCAAAATGATCATAGAATCATGAAATGGGTTTTACATTTACCTCAGTGTTTTCCTTTCTTTCTTTTTTTTGACCCAAATCGGACCTTTAAGCTTTTATCATGTTCACTGGTTATTTTGTGATGCTGGATTTTAATATTCAAAGTGCAATAATTCGTTTTGTAGACCGGACGTTATGCACAAGGAAGTGATGCGATGTGGCACAAGCTGCTGCAATACAACATCTGTACTCGCATTTCATTTTTTCTTTATTGCACAGTGTTGCAGTCCAGCACTGAAGGATAGAGATACTATTATTGCACAGTGTTACTCGGAAAGCAGTAAAGCTGTCAGACTGAACACTTGGATCTAGTTTCAGAGGTTCAAATTAAGACCACTTCTATGCTCAAAGATTTTTTGGAAGCATTCTATGGAATATTCCATAGACCTAAAGCAGGTGTTAAAACCCAGCTCATTATGTTCACCAAGCCAGGAAGCACACTGATTTAAGCAAATGTAATCTCTGTGGATTTATTGTGTGTGTGTGTGTGTGTATACAAGACTAAACATGGTCGGGCAGGGGATGCAAACTTTAAAAAAAAAACGATAATAAGATGCCTTTCTAATAAGATGTTGCTCGAATTGTGAACATTTCAAATTGTTTTTATTTTTGTATTAGCCTACCTTTATTTACAGGGAAGATGTTTAAGTTCTGTGGTTTTAAAATGAATTTTGTGTATTTAGATCTATGGATTTTATATGCACCATTTTACAAATGGATAAATAACAGTTGTTAATATTTCTATGCCGGCACCCTTTTTGTTTTCATCTTCTCTGCGTGTTTGTATCCTACCAGATCTCTTTAGTCCAAGTTTTAAAAGATCGCAAGCAAACCCTTTTATTTTTAATGACATTTGAGTTGTTTATTTAATGACTTAAAACCAGAATGACAAAAAAAAAATGAGTGCACATCCTAACAGGACGGTGTGCTGTAAATAGACATTTTGTTACCATAATAAACATTTTGCTATCATAATGCCTCTGATCTTGTGATCATTATTAGGGTTTCTCAGTGGTGTTTTGATTATGCTTACATGATTTTGAACTCCCTTTTTAAACGTTTTATTTCCTTAAAAAATCCAACACGAGCAAAAATAAGTGGCCTCTAATGGCCTGGCTTATAAAGCTGTTCGGTTAGGACCTCAGTTTCAAGGCCAACCCAGAAAATCTGTTGACAAGTTGCTATAAGAAAGGCAATGATTGTCTGAGCAGCTGCAGCTTCTAAATTCATGTTTGAAGCATGATTGTTACTCACGTTTCAACATGTAAAAGTCTTATCTGGTAATGTTAATCCTAGACTTTAATTTGCTCATAAATCAAAACACAAACCTTCTAAAATTCCCGAGGAAGCACATGGCTCATAAATGCTATTAAATAGTTAAATTAAGATCAAAGTAATATACAAATGTATACACAAAAATGCCAGTGTAAATAAGAACCATTCAAAAAAAGTTCATGAAATGTATCTCACGTTTACTTAAAATATATATATACATATATTCCATTCCTGTTGGAACAAATGGGTACGCAAAATATCTGTTGTAGTTTCGCCACTATAGAAGTTCGCCCAACTATGAAGATTACCTCTTGTGAGAAGAACCCTGGAATGTGAAAAGGGTCCATTTCCGAACAGCTCCATTAACGTATTTCCGGTATTTAGCAGCGAGTGCGCATGACGTCAGCAGGCTTCTGAAATGGTGCTCTGTCTCTTTAAGAACTCTCCACACCTATCGACTGACGTGTGACGTACTGATTTGTACTATTGTACTTAATCGACCGCCTGCTGTATTTTGTGTTCTTTACAGAGCTTAACACGTCCACTTCTTGTTTTCGGTAACTTTTATCACTCACTGGTGAAAGTAAACGACTGTTTTTGGGCTTAAATCGCAACGTAACGCAACTGTAGATAACGTTAGTTCGTTTGCCGGTTTAAAATAGGGCGCGAGATCACATGCGCGAGTTGGGGACAGTTTGGTGACACATATGCTTTCGATTAGAACTTGTCCGTTCAGAACAATGATGTGAACTCATTAAACCGGCTTTCTTAACGGATTCAAAAATCTGCCAGTGGTCTGGCGTTCAAGTTTATGGAGGAATGAAACTCAAAAGTCTACGGAGCAAAGTTGAAAACGGGATCATTTGACTCAAGTTTGGATCCTCCCTGACATGCTCACAGCCATGGTGACTAAAGTATCTTTGCGGCTTTCTGAATGAACTCCTTGTGCAATGGGGACTCCGAGAAACGGCTTCAGCAAACGAGAGACTTTCATTCTCTCTGTTGATGTGGGAACAACCTCCATCAGGTGCCATGTGTACGATAAGAGCGCCAGAATCAGGGGGTCCTGCTCCACAAAGGTAAATGACAGCAGGTCTGGTTGTTGCAAGATTGTGCCAGTGCCTTCCAGTGTGTGAAATCTGATAGCAGGTTCCTTGTTACAGGTGTCCCTGCTTTATCCTCAGCCTGGATATGTAGAGATTGACCCTGAGGATCTGTGGAAAGGGTTTGTGACTGTAGTCAAAGGAGCAGTTCAAGGTCAGGCATCTTTATTTTGGCTATATTATCTCACAAGCATACATCGCCCCCAAAACCTTTTTGGACACTTAAGTTACTTAAAAAAAATTATAAATGTCATTGCATCATATTTCAGAACATTAAATCTAGTGGCATGCTTGCAAACAAATTGTTAAAACAAATGCTGCACATTAAATAGCAAACTGCAATCAATATTTGTGTTTTGTGGGGATAAACTGTATTATAGTTAAATGTATTAAATCAGAGTATTTTCACTGGTGTTGCAAGATTAATCAAGCCCAGCACTTTTAGTGTCTTCTGTATGTGCATTTTTAACAGGTTTATTATATAAAATAGCATTAATAATGCATGTTTAATACTTAATTAAAATAATTACTTTTGTTTGTTTTTTGAGTAAACAGTGAGTGAAACTAATGAACAGCTTTTTTGTAATTACGTCATCCTGGAGCAGCTTAGACATTATTAAATTTAGTGTTATGGAACATATGTTAATGTGTAATATGACACTGTGTACAAGTCCAAACGTTCAGCATACTGGACATGAAAATCCACTCAAAAATTGTTATATGAAAATGAAAATATAATAGCATTTTTAATAAAAACTCAGTGTTGAGCATTACATTCACATGTTGCCTTTTATGAATGTAGTTTTATGTTTACCAATAAATAAAAACACAAGGCACTTTGGAAAGAGAATCTAAAACAAATGAATCCAGCATATTGGATGTTTGATTTGAGAAGGTGTTAATGTACTTTTCAGGGCTACTGAAAATCATTTTGATGTGCAATCTGATATATAAGTGGTTCTCAGTAAAGGGTCTGAGGCCCACTAGAGGTGCTTAGCAAACATCTAGAAGGATGAAATTATTTAAAATTCGTTATATAAACAATCTTAATTGAAATGCTAAAAACGCTACACAAAAGGATGTTGAACTCATTAAACTCACATCATCTTTTAAGACTTCATAGTTCTATTTACTGCAACAGAGGTACATATCAGTTTAGATAGAAAGGCCTTTAAATTTTGCCTTGGAAATAAATCCTCTGTGATAAATGTAGGTCCATAAGCTTACAATAATGACAAGACTCCTCTCCTCTTCTATCTCTTTGGTTTAGACTCAGGCTTACAGATGTGCCAAATGGAAAGTCTTGGCATCTCAACCCAGAGGGCAACGTTCATAACATGGGACAGGTTCGTATACATTAAATCCCGTGATTGTTTTGCAGAAAACTTCGTGAACTGACTGAGGTGGCATATAATCTTTTGTTATCATCTCCAGAAATACGGGAAAACCGTTTCATAATTTCATCACCTGGCAGGACCTGAGGGCAGCCGAGTTGGCGAGATCGTGGAACAGGTCCTGCGCTATGAAGGTGAGGCGGCTGTGCATGTCATCTTGGAATATATTTGTTCATTTCAGACTTTCCTTGTGATTAACACTGTTGTATTAGGGAGTGTATTATGCCTAGACATGATCCAAACAGAAATACTAGAGAATGTTAGAATCTCATTGGACAATCACTGGAACAGATCAGTCAGCATAATCCAAATGACCACGTACTGGCTTGACATTTCACAATTCATACATATGCATTATTACTGTTCAAAAGTTTTAAAGTGCCCCTATTATGGGTTATGAAAGGTTCATATTTTGGTTTTGGGAGTCCCCAACAACAGGTTGACATGCATGCAAGGTCTAAAAATACTTTTGTTGTCTTATAATATGCATTTATTTTTACCTTACTTGTTCAATGACTCCCAAACGATTCATTTTTCCAAACCCCTCCTTTGCGTGACGCTAATCTGCGGTGATTGGTCCCATTGGTCTCATTTTAATTGCATCATGCCTGTAATGCCTGATAAAGCAGTGTTTGTGAGCAGCAGTGCTGCTTTGTGTACAGCGTTACCAGGGAAACCGCTATTTTACGCTCCAAAAGCAGCACCTAGTGGCAAAAAATGAATTAGCATTTTCATTCAGACCAACAGGAAAAGACAAACAAGTGGGCGGGCAATATGCTAATGTTTCATGTTGACGTCAACATGAAATGGTCAATGACTCCCAAACGATTCATTTTTCCAAACCCCTCCTTTGCGTGACGCTAATCTGCGGTGATTGGTCCCATTGGTCTCATTTTAATTGCATCATGCCTGTAATGCCTGATAAAGCAGTGTTTGTGAGCAGCAGTGCTGCTTTGTGTACAGCGTTACCAGGGAAACCGCTATTTTACGCTCCAAAAGCAGCACCTAGTGGCAAAAAATGAATTAGCATTTTCATTCAGACCAACAGGAAAAGACAAACAAGTGGGCGGGCAATATGCTAATGTTTCATGTTGACGTCAACATGAAATGGCTTGGGATTCGTTTGAAAAACTACGCGTTTCAATGATTCCGAGTCGACTCTTTCTTTTGAGAGACACTAACTTTATACACGGTGCACTTTCAGATTTAAAACTTTGCAGGATGTTTTCATTCACGTAGAGCTGTGTTACACACTGCATGAAAGGTAATTTTCAAAAATCCATAATAGGGGTACTTTAATAATACAAAAGATTTCCGTTTCAAATAAATGCTGTTCTTTTGAAATTTCTATTCATTAAGAATCCTGAAAAAATGTCATTGTTTCAACACGAAATATTAAGCATTTAAAAAATGTGTGATATTAAGGAATGTTTCTTGAGAACCCACACAACCTATTAGAATGATTTCTGAAGTAACGTAAAAATGTTTTAAAATCATTTTTTTTAAAAATTGTAATAATTTTTTAACAGTATTACTGTTTTTTTTTTTAAATTAATTTATTATTTTTTTATATCAAATAAATTCTGCCATGAGCATAAGAGACTTTTCAAAAACTTACAAACTCCTTAGTGAACTTTTTAACAGTAGTGTAATTTTATTACCACAAATAAAATTGTTTTACTAACCCATACAATATTTAAAACCACAAAAAAACAAGTAAATAAAACAAACTATGGATTTGTTGACAAGCTATTGGGATTATTACTTTTTAGGAGTGTGTACAGTTGCTGATAATCTCCAAATGGCTAAATAATTGCATATATTATTTAATAACAGTTAATAAATATCAGTTTACAGCAGTTTATTACTGCAAACAAAGTGTGTATTGTTTGGACAGTGACAGATCGTAGTGTTTGTCTTTCATTGTGTACGTCAATAAATTAGTGTTTCATTCATTCCAAGTCCTTTAAGCTAAATGAGCAAATACAGCAGTGAAACAAGTACCCCTCTGACTACTCGAACATGGATTGCCAATATATTTGTGTAAGGTGCTGACAGTTAATGTGGATGGGAATTTTTGGCCTGTGAGGATCTTTGTTACACATGCTAAAAGTGCTCATGTTTGAGTCAGCAGAATTCCCTCCTTAGTGGCAGGTTTTGAGTTTCATGTGTGAAACTCAGTGTGGTCATGTAATGGTCCAACAGCATTCACATTAATTAGTTTTGTCCTATCACTGCCGAGACAAAGCCATGTCAGTTTGTACAAGACATTTTTGAATGTGTGAGAGCTTACAACCCATGTAATTGCAGAGCAAACATCCCTGTGTATGTAGTCGCAGATACAACTGGTTATTCTTGAACAAATTTCAACAGGAAAATGTTTTCAGTATCTTATCACTGAGGGCAGAGGTCAAGCTTGAAGGTGGTGGTCTACTGTTTTTTTTTCTTTCTTTAACTTACTCTTAGGGCATATTCTTGTCAAGTCTGTAATTAAAGGAATAGTTCAACCAAAAATTTAAAATTTGCTGAAAATTCACTCAGCCTCAGATTTAGATACGTTTTTTTGTTTGTTTTCTTTTGTTCATCATAATCGATGTGGAAAAATGTAGCATTACATAATTTGCTCACCAGTGAATCATCTGCAGTGAATGGGTGCCGTCAGAATGAGAGTTCAAACTGCACGTTTGTAAGAAACAAATGCATCATTTAGACGTGTTTTAAATTAAAACAGTTGCTTCCAATTAAAATATGAGTCCTCTATCAATAATATAGCTTTTTCCAGTGAAAACATCGTCTTGTCTGAATCAGGAGAGAAATATGCACAGTTTAACCACCAAATACAAGCAAATGTATGGAAGCATATATGTAGCGAAATTCAATTTAAAATGCAATATGCAAAGTGGCAATGCAATATACAAAATGGTAATGTATTTCTGTATTTAAATTTACATTTTCCCTTACCCATACGTGCAAAGTTTGTTGCAAAAATAAAATAACAATTTAATTATATAATTTTAATTATATAATAGTCTTAATATGTAAACTGAATACAAATTTTAACGCTTTATAAGTTGCAAAATGAAAATATATAACACAAATTGATTTGATATGTATAACATGTCCAAGCAGAAATGGTAGCAAAATGATAATTTAAATGCTATTTGTCCTAAATGCATTTAAACTGACAGTTAGAACTTTTCGGATTGCATTTTCATCATGTGGGATATTTGTAGCAAAATTCAGTGCGGCTTTGAAAATGCATTCCGAGCTGAACACGCCCACCCTCCGTCAATCATTGCTTCAAGGCAGGGATTGGTGGAAACGTATTACGTTTGGATCGTTCAAAACATGGCGGCTCGAGATCTGATAAGATCGTCGAATTCACTGACTGATCGAACGTCAAACCGAACGTCTTGAGCTTTGAGCGTCTTGCACTGCGGGTGTCAGCGTCTTGAAATTAGCTGGTTTTTAAACATTTAAGGAGCCAAGCTGCTGTGTAAAGACTATAAATGGACATTACAAACATTACAATTCATCTCTTCAATATGTTCCTGGATACTTCATCTGCCAGTGAATCTTATGGTCAGCTTGGAATGCATTTTCAAAGCCGCACTGAATTTTGCTACAAATATCCCACGGCGTCATGATGAAAATGCAATCCGAAGTGTTCTAACTGTCAGTTTAAATGCATTTAGGACAAATAGCATTTAAATGATCATTTTGCTACCATTTCTGCTTGGACATGTTATACATATCAAATCAATTTGTGTTATATATTTTCATTTTGCAACTTATAAAGCGTTAAAATTTGTATTCAGTTTACATATTAAGACTACTGTTGGAAATGGCAAATGTAAATTATATAATTTCATTTTCATTTTCCTTTTGCAACAAATTTTGCACGTGTGGGTAATGGAAAATGTAAATTTAAATACAGAAATACATTGCTATTTTGAATATTGCGTTGTCATTTTGAATATTGCATTGCCATATTGCATATTGCATTTGAATTTTGCTACCTATATGCTTCCATACAAATGCAGTCCAAACACTTCTAAACTAATATGGTGAGCAAGTGATTTAATGCTAAGCTTATTCAAATCTGCTCATCTACATCTTGGATGGTCCAAGAGTAAATGCATTTCGGCAAGTTTTAAAAAAAATTTTAAAAAAATTTTATTGCTTAACTTTTTTTTGCATGTATGTTTTATGGCAGACGGTACACGGAGTGATGAAGATGCTGCACTTCCTCACCAGACAGAAGCGGTTCCTTGCAGCCAGCCTGGTAGTTTTTACCACCCAGCATGTGTCACTGCGTCTTGTCTGGGCCTTGAACAATATCCCTCAGGTAAACCAGGAGTAGTTAAAATATGGCATTCAGCATTTGTCTTTTCTAGGACTAGTATATTTATTCTAACCTTCTCTCTCTTCAGTTGCGGCAGGCAGTCGAAGACGGCTCCTGTTATTTTGGGACCATAGACACCTGGCTGCTGTACAAACTGACTAAAGGTGGATATTTCATTATGAAATAGAAATGTTGTCCTGTTGTATAGAAGTCATTTGAACAGTGAAAATCAGATAGCTGAGTGCACAGTATTCTGGCTGGATTCCTTTGAGAGGTAGCTGAAATTAAACCTGTTCGATCTGTAAGAGGCTCTTCAGAGTGATCTGCTCAATGAAAGCGTGCCACAGATCTGATATCTTACATCACTGACTGACACTATTCTCAGAAAGCCCACAACCCTTGACAAAGGGTGTTAAGAGTAGTTAATCATAAGCAGTCACATGTTGGTTAGTCTTGCAAATTATAATCCAATCAGTAATTATGAATTTATGGCTGTAATGGAGATACTTTATAGCATGAATGAATGAATACTTGTATTTTATTTTTAAATATATACAGTACGTGTGTGTGTGTGTGTATATACACACACACACA